TGCTGGCATTGCTGTGGTGGCAGGGGAGGGGGGACCCCGCCGGGCTCCCTTGGGAGACCCACAGCCAGTACTTACAGGGCTCCCGGGCGATGAACTGAGGGACGGCGGTGGGGAGAGGCGTGCTGGGGTTGGGGGTGCCCACCAGCTTGCTCTTGGCCATCTTGGTGTTCGCCTTGGCAAACTCCAGCCGCAGCGTCTGGGGGATCTCGGGGTCGAAGCGGATGCCCTGTGGGAGGGAAGGAGGCCCGGCGGGCGGGTGAGCACGGCCGTTCGCCAGCCCCACAGCAAAAATAACTCCCAGTTTTTTTTTTTATTTTTTTTTTTTTTCAACTTCCAGCCTTGAAATGAGCTAATTTGCCTGGCCCCGAGGCGGCTCGCGTTCCTCCGGCATCTTTAGCATCGGCACCATATTTGGCAGTCGGCATCCTGCACGGCCGAGCTCTTATCCAGAGGGATTAGCGGAGCCAAAAAAAAAGTTTTACGTTGAAAATGAAGACAAGGAGGAAAAAAAAAAAAAAAACACCAAACCAAAAGCCGGGGAAGAATTGGAGAGCTGGCTCCACGCGGTTCTCCCCGTGACTCTTTTTGGGAATTTTAACTCCGCAGAGGTAGGAGGGAGCTGCTAAAGGAAAATGAAATTTGCTTTTTCTTTTGCAGCTTTAGCTGGGATTTTTCCCACTGAAGAAGCGGGAGAGGCTGGGAAAGGCATCTCTCGCTGACTCATAGCTAATCCTTAGGGTTCAAGCCCTCCCGGATGGTCCCGGGAAAGGCGAGAGGGATGCAGCCCCTGGGAGGGAGGATGCAGATGAGAAGCAGCCGATGGGGATCGGCTGGAGGGATGGGGATGCGGAGGGGCCAGCTGGCACAGGAGATAAAAATTCCCAGGATGGAGGAATTCGGAGAGTATCCACGTATGGGAGAAATGAGGAAGGGTGGGGGGGAAATCCTGGAAAAATGGAGCAGCCAAGCGCACTCACGTTCAGGGCGTTCTTCGCCGCCTCCGCCTCGGAGCGGCTGTCGAAGCTGACGAAGCCCACGGGCTGCGGAGGAAGGAGAGGAGGCATCGTCAGTCGGGGTGGCAGGGAGCAGAGGGGGGACCCCCCCACACCCCCCAGGGACCAGCGGCATAGGGGAGGGTGGGAGCGTGGCGTGGGATGCTCACCCCGTTTTGAGCGGCTCCTACCTGCTTGGAGGTGAGTTTGATGAGAGACCCCTCGTACCCCTGCAAGGAAAGAATAAAAAAGGGCGTTTGGTGGAGATCCCCGCGGTTCCGCTGCCCCTCGGAGAGGGGAACCTCCCGCATCCATCACTGGCAGCACTGCAGCTGGGGGGAATCGGGTGGGCACGGGGGGGGCCTGCCAAGGCTCGCTGCCGCTGGATTTTTGTAGGGATGCTGGCTGCTTGATAATATTATCCCTCGTGTCTAAGAGCCGGTGTCTGAGCTGCAGATCTGTCGGGGTGAAGAGAGCGGAGAGGTCGGCAGCCAAGGCTCTGCTGCTGCTAAACGGGGTGCACGCCAACGGGCAATTAAATCCCCGGGGCAATCAAAGCAGCCAGCGCCATTTTCCTACAGTTTATTGGGGGAAAAAGGTGCAGAAACTTGTTTCTGGGAATCAAATGACTGAATTAGACTTTTTTTGGGGGGAAACCAGTGGGATCCCAGATCCCGGCCAAGGTTGGTAGGGCCATGGGGATGGGGCAGGGGGCCAGCCCCGTGCTGCCAGCGCCCCCCGCCCTCCCCTCCCCAGTCTGGTACCTTAAAGGGCCTGAAGAGCAGGTAAAGTTCCCGGGGCTTGATGTCCAGAGGCAGCCCGCTGACGAATAGTGTCCTCACCTGGAAAAGAAGAAAGGAGGTTCCTGGAGACACTCCCTCATCCCTAACTTGGGGACACCCCACACCTCCCGCAGCCCAAGGAGGGGGGCACGCCAGAGGGATGATGCCAGTCTGAGGGGAAGGAACCTCGTGGGCAGCCGAAAGCCTCAAGCCACACGTGGGGGCCATCCTTTGGGTGACTGCAGGGATGCGGTGGTTTTTGGAGGGGTGTCCCTGTCCTTTGGGTGACTGCGGGGATGCGGTGGTTTTTGGAGGGGTGTCCCTGTCCTTTGGGTGACTGCGGGGATGCGGTGGTTTTTGGAGGGGTGTCCCCATCCTTTGGGTGACTGCGGGGATGCGGTGTTTTTTGGAGGGGTGTCCCCGTCCTTCGGGTGACTGCGGAGCATGCTGCTAAGGCACCATGGAAAGATAACCGAGAGCCGTCCTCACCACACCAAGCGCTCTTGGGGTCCAAAATGATGATGCCAGCATCCCAGCGCCCTCCTAGCCCAGCCTGGCAAAGAGGGATCTCTCCCAGCATCCCCCACAGCACCCTTCCTCGGCGGACAATGCCCATTGTCTCTGCTTAATTTGCAGCAGCTCATTAAGGAGAAGCAAACCCCAACTCTTCCTCCTGGAGGAATGGCCCTGTTTTGGAGGGGGCTGGTTTTAAGCAGCCCATCCATGTCCCGTCCCTGTTTATAAAAGTCACCTTTTTCAGGGGGTTTAACTCTTTTTGGGTGGCTCTGACGTTTGCCGTGGTGCAGCACACTCAAAGCCGGGGCAGCTGGCAGAAACCCTGCTTCCACCCACCCCGAGGGGGGGGATGCGGGGGTCCTCAGGGATGGGCAAACCCAAACCTGGGCAAGACCTGTGCGGGGATGGTTTTGCTTTACAACCAGCTCGTAACCGGGGGAGCGGCATGGGGCAGGAGAGCAGCAGTTGGCTCTGCTGCCAGACCCTTGCTCCGCATCCCCAAAATCTCATCCAAGCGCTTTGGTGACCGATGGCCAGGGCCCCCTGGGAGCCTGGGGCTGACGATGGCCCCAATCGGCCCCACCTGGACCCCCCACCCACATGCCCTGCCCATGGCCCCGGGGCTGTATTTAGGCTCAGTCCTGCTGGGTCTCAGCCCCGCTGCGTCCCCAAGGAGGGGTCAGACCCCGGCTGCCATCGCCCACTGGCTCTGCTCTCACTGGGGCACCCAGGGACGGCGCCTGTGTCGGTGGGGTCCCTGCCTTGCCACCCCCCTGGGCTCCGGGCTTGCTTGTGAGCCAGCCCCGCTCCCGCAGCATCTGCCCGGAGGCCCTGGCCCAAGGTCACCCACCCCTGGCTGCCAAGCTGCCAGATTAGGGCTGAAGGAGGGGAAAACCTTATTTATTTATTTTTTTAGTGAATTTTATTTTTTGGCCAGGCACCCTGCCCACCCCATTCCCAGAGACCCCAAACAGCCAGCAACAGCCAGCCCAGGCCTATTCTGCTGCTGACATTTCTTCTTTCTCTTGCAGATAAGCTATCTACCCCATCTCCCAGCCTGGGAGCAGCAAACATTCCTGC